GGTCGGCCGGTTGCATGTCTCCCTGGCTGACCCCTCTGGGGGTCCTGTCCTCGCTCACTTTTCCACTGTCCTCCCGTGTCCGGCTGCCCCCTCGGGCACCCTGTCTGGCCTGTACCTCCCCTCGTTCTCGACGAACTTGGTGAGTGGTGCAGACCTACAGGATGCGGGGGTTCACCAGTTCACTCCTGCGAGTCAGCGGGTGACCCACTGCACGGACGCACGCACAGGCCGGCACCTGGCCACGTTCTCGCGTCGGCCGGGGTCGAGCCTCTACACCCTGACCACTGAGTCTCCTCCTGTCCCCGCGTCCGGTCAGGTAGCAGCGTCGGGTCAGGTGTTTGCTGCTGCGTCCAGGTCTGGTCCTGAGTCTGCCCCCTGTTCGTGTCGCCTCCTGTCTCACGAGACTCTCCTGTGGCACCACCGTCTAGGCCACCCCTCCTTGCCCCGTCTTCGGGGCATGGCTTCCCGTGTCCTTGTCTCTGGTCTTCCCCAGTCTCTCCCTCCCCTTCCTTCGGGACCAGGACCTTCCTGTGTCCCCTGTGTCGAGGGGCGCCTCAGGGCTGCTCCTCACTCCTCCCAGTTTCCCCCGACAGAGGCTCCTCTGCAGACGCTTCACATGGACGTGTGGGGCCCGGCCCCCGTCCGTGGGCAGGGTCACGAGCGCTACTTCCTGTTGGTGGTTGACGACTACTCGCGTTACACCTCAGTCTTCCCCTTGCGCAGCAAGGGTGCTGTCACTGAGGTGCTGATCGCCTGGATCCGCGAGGCTCGTCTCCAGCTCAGGAGGAGCTTCGGCTCGGACTTTCCTGTTCTGCGTCTGCACTCTGACCGAGGTGGGGAGTTCTCCTCTCGCCTTCTGCAAGACTACTGTCGTGCACAGGGGATCCGCCAGACCTTTACGCTTCCGGACTCTCCACAGCAAAATGGGATTGCTGAGCGCCGCATTGGCATGGTCATGGATGTCGCTCGTACGTCCATGATGCATGCGGCTGCCCCCCATTTTCTGTGGCCGTTTGCGGTTCGGTACGCGGCGCATCAGCTCAACCTTCACCCCAGGGTCTCTCGGCCCGCGATGTCCCCAGTGTTACTGTGGACGGGGAAGGTCGGCGATGCGTCTGCGTTCCGTGTCTGGGGATCTCGGGCGTTTGTCCGCGACTTGTCTGCGGACAATCTGTCCTCTCGTGCTGCTCCCTGTGTCTTCCTTGGCTTCCCCCCTGACGCTCCAGGGTGGCAGTTCTACCACCCCTCCTCTCGTCGTGTTCTGTCCTCCCAGGACGTCACGTTCGACGAGTCAGTCCCCTTCTATCGCCTCTTCCCCTACCGTACTCCTTCCCTCCCCCCCCCACCGGACTTCCTGGTACCAGTTCCCCCCCCGGTAGACCCCCTTCCCCCTCAGGTTCCTGCCCCTTCAGGTGTGTCCCAGGTAGACACAGTCGAGCCAGTCGAGGTTGCTGCTGAGTCTGGTCCTGCTGCGGGTGCTGAGCCTGGGGGTGCTGCTGCTGGGGGTGCTGAGCCTGGGGGTGCGAGGCCGGGGGGTGCTGAGTCTGGGGGTGCTGGGCCTGGAGGTCTGGAGCCTGCGCCTGCTGGACTTGGGGGCTCTCCGGTTCTTCCGTCTCGGCGGGAGCCGCTCTCTCCACAGGAGCTGCGCGAGTGGTTTGCTCGCCGCTGGAGGCGTGCTGCTGGAGCTGGAGCTTCTTCGCCTGCTGAGGGTGCTGGTGCTGCTGGTCCCGGAGCTGCTGGGCCTGCGGGTCCTACTGGAGCTGGAGCTACTGAGCATGGGGGTGCTTGAGTCTGGAGCTGCTGAGCCTGGAGGTGTTGAGTCTGGAGCTGCTGAGCCTGGGGGTGCTACGTCTGGAGCTGCTGTGCCTGGGGGTGCTGAGTCTGGAGCTGCTGAGCCTGGGGTTTCTCCTGCTGCTGCGTCTCGCCGGGAGCCCCTCTCTCCACAGGAGCTGCGCGAGTGGTTTGCTCGCCGCTAGAGGCGTGCTGCTGGAGCTGGAGCTTCATCGACCGTCGAGGGTGCTGGTGCTGCCGGTCCCGGAGCTGCTGGGCCTGCGGGTCCTACAGGAGCTGGAGCTGCTGAGGGTGTTGGTGCTGAGACAACTGCTGTCTGTCCTGGCGGTGGTTCTGCTGCTGGTGCTGCTGGAGGTCCTGCCGCTGGAGGTGTTGGTGGTGCTGGTGCTGTCGCTGAGGATGCTGGTGCTGTCCCTGCTGAGTCTGGAGCTGCCGCGCGGCCTCGACCGTACTTCGTTCCGCTCCTGCAGCAGGTTCTTGGTCTTTCTCCTTCGGTAGAGTGTCCACAGCCTGTCCAGTCGCAGTCACTGTTGGAGCCTTCCTCTCCTCTGCCTGCTCCCTCCCCTTACACTGGTCCTACAGGAGGTCTTGCTGAGCGTCGTGAGCCTGCGTCTCGTCCCACGTCGCCGGTTTGTGCTGCTCGCGCTAGTGGTCGCGGTTCGCGTCAGCGTCCTCCTCCTGTCCCTGGCACGCACCGGATGTCTCTGCGTCCGTCCACTGCTCCTCTGCGTGCCCCTTTGCCTTCTCCTCCTGAGTCCTCTCTTCCTGTGCTTGCCGACCCTGAGTCGGACTCTCTTTGTGCTGCCAGTCCTACTGTCACGAGTCTGCTTGCTACTGTCGTCACTGACCCCTCTTTTGAGTCCACTGCTGCGTCTGCTCTTGTCGCTGAGCTCGTCGCCTTTGCTGCTCGCTGCCGTCTAGACTACGCTGCTAGTCTTGTTGCTGAGTCTGCGTCTGTCTGTCCTCCGTCCGTCGGGGGTGAGTGTGCTCTTGGCACGGACGTCCTAGAGGACAGGCAGGAGGAGTTACAGTGTCTGGCTGCTGCTTCACCTCATCTCGCGTCTGTACTGCTTGCTCCTGAGGGAGACCCGGATGCACTAGACATCCCGACTCCGCGCTCTTACGCGGAGGCCGTAGAGGGTCCCTACTCCTCTCAGTGGCAGGCAGCTATGGATGCAGAGATGGCTTCCTGGAAGTCCACAGGCACCTACGTTGACGCAGTTCCCCCTCCTGGGGCGAACATCGTCAGTGGCATGTGGATCTTCAGGGTGAAGCGGCCGCCGGGCTCTCCACCTGTCTTCAAGGCGCGGTACGTTGCTCGTGGCTTCAGTCAGCGGCAGGGAGTTGACTACTTTCAGACCTTCTCTCCCACCCCGAAGATGACCACTCTTCGGGTGCTGCTGCACATAGCCGCTCAGCGCGACTACGAGCTTCACTCTCTCGACTTCAGCACTGCGTTCTTGCAGGGTAGCCTGCACGAGGAGATCTGGCTGCGCCGTCCGCCTGGCTTCACTGGGACTTTCCCTCCTGGCACCCAGTGGAGCCTCCGACGGCCAGTCTACGGTCTCCGCCAGGCACCGCGTGAGTGGCACGACACACTGAGGACTACACTTGCGGCTCTTGGGTTTGCTCCCTCTACTGCTGACCCGTCGCTGTTTCTGCGCACCGACACTTCACTGCCGCCGTTCTACATCCTCGTGTACATCGACGACTTGGTCTTTGCCACAGCGGACACTGCTGGACTCGCCTACGTGAAGTCCGAGCTGCTGAAGAGACACACGTGCACAGACCTGGGTGAACTGCGCAGCTACCTTGGCTTGCAGATCACTCGGGACAGAGCACGCCGCACCATTACCTTGACTCAGTCACACATGGTGCAGCAGGTCCTTCAGCGCTTCGGCTTCACGTACTCCTCGCCTCAGGCCACTCCTCTGCCTACTCGCCACTCACTCTCAGCTCTGCCTTCGGATGAGTCCGTAGAGTCGAGTGGTCCGTATGCAGAGCTTGTTGGCTGCCTCATGTACCTGATGACCTGCACACGACCTGACCTTGCATACCCTCTGAGCATTCTTGCACGCTATGTTGCTCCTGGGAGACACCGACTTGAGCACATGGCATGCAGCGAAGAGGGTATTGCGCTACCTGTGCAGTACGTCGGGCATGGGGCTAGTGCTTGGAGGGCGGAGTCCAGTGGTCCTTACAGGCCACGCGGACGCTTCTTGGGCTGACGACCAGGCTACGCAGCGGTCGTCACAGGGTTACACCTTCAGCCTTGGTTCCGGCTCTGTCTCGTGGCGGTCTACTCGCTCGTCTTCAGTTCTTGGCTCCAGTTGTGAGGCTGAGATCTACGCCGGGGCCATGGCTGCACAGGAGCTTCGCTGGCTCACCTACCTGCTGACTGACCTTGGAGAGCCGCCTCGTTCTCCTCCAGTGCTGTACGTAGACAACAAGGCCATGCTGGCCTTGTGTCGAGAGTAGCGCTTGGAGCACAGAACGAAGCACATTGCTCTCCGCTACTTCCTTGCTCGTGAGCTGCAGCAGCGTGGTCAGTTGCGACTTGCGTACGTGGCCTCTGAGGCCAACACTGCTGATGTGTTCACCAAGGCACTCGCCCCTTGTGACCATCAGCGCTTTTGCACCCAGCTGGGTCTTGTGCCTGTCTTGCCTCACTTGCTCTCCTCTTGACTTCACTTGTACTGTGACATATATATATACCTGCTCTTGCTTGTCTAGTTTTATATATATGTCTGTCCTCCTGCATGTGAACTGGCCTCTAGCCCTGCTCTTGTGCTCGGACTGTGTGGTGACTTTGTGATCCACCCTGAGCTTGCTTTGCTTTGCTTTGCTTGACTAGTCTTGTGACCCCTTGTTCTCCCCCACTTTGCCTATGGGGGTGTGTCAGAGTATTATAACTGATGCATGTTTGTAGGCTATAGTGGGGTAGCACATATGGGGTACAGCTTTCTAGGGTTGTATTTGTACCCAACTCTGACTTAGTCAATTCATTCCTGTTCTCTTATCTTTCTCAGTTGGTTCTCGCGTCACCGGCGATGGGAGCATGGGAGCCGGCGACGGCAGTTCGGGGAATCAGTCGGGGAAGAGCGTGGTCGACATCCTCAAGGAAGCACTGGGCTGAGGTTGGAGCGGCCACCACGGGCCATGGTGGTGGGGGTCCCGCCGACGAGCATGCCACTGATGACGCACTGCCAATGGCTCCGCCTTCGGTCGCCGTTAAGCCACCACGACAGGGAAGCGGTGAGAAAGGGCTGCGCGACAAGGAGAAGGCCGCCGCCAAAACGGCCCCAGGCGGGTCCGCGAAAGCTGGCCAGGGGCCAAAGACAGGGGTTGCAGAGGCGTCAGCGGTTCCTCACCAGTCTCCCGCGGGTGCATGCCATCCGACCGGACCGTCTGCGGGGCGACCTGCCCACGTCCCGCGCCATGCCGACGTACCGTCTGCCGACAAGGTTGGCCGCGCGGGAAAAGGGGCGGCAGTTGCAGACACGCTCAAGGAGCAGCTCATGCTCCTAGCCGGCCACAGGGCCTGTTCAACAGCCCCCCCCTGCTGTCGACGTCCCATCGGCCAGTATGCCACGTGTAGTGCCGGTCGTCGCCGCCCGTACTCCTGCAGACCCAAAGTCTGCGTTGCTGCGCGCCCAGCTGGGCGCACTAGCGTCGACTGCGAGGACTCAGCAGGCTTCTGGCTCTGGCGCTAAGCCGTTGTCGGCGAATGTCGCACCACCCACCCATGTGGCAGCTGATGTGGAGAAGGTGGCGGAGAAGGGCGTTCGTGCCGCGCTTGCCACCGGCGGCGGCGCCGTTGAGGAGGTCCCCGCAGACGCTGATATCGCTGCCATACAAGCCCATCTGGAAGCGGCCAATCCCCGAACCCTGGCCATCTCCGACACGACACATGTGGAGCCTTCGGCGGGACTCGTCGGCATCACGGCAGAGCCTAGTGCGACCGGTGATGCGGTCGGTGAAGGAAAGTCGAAACGGAAGGGGAAGGCGGGCTCACAGAGGATGACGCAGGAGAAGTCGGAGGTGAAGGCAGCGGATAAACAGAAGGGGATGGCGGCGGAGACGGCGGCGGACAAAGATGGAGGCGGCATTGCGGAGGTTGAAGGGAAAGAGGAGAATCAGGATAAGTCGCCCGGCGAGGGTACGTCGACGGGGAGGAAGGGGAAGGACAAGTCGGTCGGAGAAGGTGCGTCGACCGGGAGAAAGGGGAAGGAGAAGGCGGTCGACGAGGGTTCCTCGAAGGGGAGAAAGGGAAAGAGGAAGGCGAAGGAGGAGGATGAGGATGTCGAGGAGGTGGAGGAGGTCGAGTAGGAGGAGGAAGAAGAAGAGGAGGAGGAGGAGGAGGAGGAGGAGGAGGAGGAGGAGGAGGAGGAGGAGGAGGAGGAGGAGGAGGGGAAGGTCAAGGAGAGGAGGGGTCATGGCATCCGACACGATACCTCGGGCGACAAGCAAGGGTGGGTCGGCGAGATTAAGGTGCACGGCATCAATCGATACATCGGCGGCAAGTCGCGGGACAAGATGGAGCTCGCGTACGTTCACTCCATCGCGTACGTCGTCTACGACGATTTCGTGAGCAAGGTGCTCATGACCGAGCTCACCGGCTTGGACAGCGCCGAATTGGAGAGGTGGAAGGAGGTGTGAGAGGAGGTCAAGATCTTGCCGACAGGGATGTGGACGGTGATGTGGGCCCGGGGTATGCTCCTTCCAAAGACACGGTAAGTCGGCAATCCTCCGATCCAAAGTCGATGTCATTGTCGTGTCTCTAATGTTCGCCCTGTTTGTGGTGGCGTGACAGGCTGACTGAGATCCTCGACGCGTATCGCCATTACAAGTCCACAGGCGATGGTCTCCACGCCGCGCTCCTGCCAGCGATATGGTACCCAGTCGATGCTAGCACCGAGGAAGGCCGGGAGAAGTCGGCGTCCATGATGTCGGCGATGATAGGCCGCGTGTCAATGTGCGATGCGTATGGGAAGACCGCTGCGGCAGCGGCGAAGAAGGAGGGAGACAAGGAGGAGAAGACGGATATGGCGGCATGGGCGTTAGCAGCATCCGCATGCGCTGTGTGGTGCTTCGTCGAGAGCGGCGATGCCCAGCTGGCGGATGCTGTGGAAGAAGGGAAGTCGGCGGCGATCATCGGCGGAGCGAGCCAGGCGACCGCCGATGTATTCGGAAAAGTCATGGAGGCGGTGCTGAACGCCGAGATGAATAGGGACCGCCCCCTGGGAGAGGTTGCTTACAACGTCGCGCCAGCACTCCAGAGGACCGCCCGTGATAGGGTCTATCCGGGGGGGAATGCTGGAGTAGATGCCGACGTTATCGCTAGAGCGACGGTTGAGGCGATGGCGTTTTGGGGAATGTGCCCCGCGCCGGGCCGAAACTCAGAGCGAGGGACATCGCAGTGCCGATTGACGTGCAGATGAAGGCCGATCTTGACAACAGGGGGAGGAAGGGTCTGAGGGGCAAGAAGGGGACGAAGGCCAAGGGCGGCACGGGGAAGAAGGGCAAGAAGGTGAAGAAGGACAGCACGACGGCCTCGTCGATGGCTTGCTAGGATTGAGTGCTGCGTGGACTCGGTGCTGCTATGGTCGATATCGTTTTGTTTGTTTCGGCTGTCGGATCCCTTTGATACTCGTTGTTTCTGTTTCTTTGTGTGTGTGCCTGTCTACTTTATGTAGGATGAGTAATGAACACATTAGCTAGTAATGATTGTCTACTTCAGTTAGAACGACACGTGAATGCGCCGCTAGGCCAAGAACAACAGGATCATTGTGAGAAACAAAAAGTCGACATCAGTATCAATATGAAACATAGGCATGCTGCATCAACATCTACAACATGCAACAGCCCACAGTAGCAGGAGGCCTGGGAACATTCACGCAGTCTTCGCGCGCTTGGTCGACTTATTGGTTGGAGGCAGCTGCCCGGCGTCGTTTTCGCGGGCCAGGTCGGCCAACGTCTTCTTCATCTGCTCAACCCAGGTGTCCGGGAACAGGTCGGCGACCCACGTTTCGAGCTTGAACCCGCGCCCCACGAACGCACAGACGACATGAAGCTTGGAAACTTCCGTCTTGCCGAGCCCTTTGACGCCCTTACCCTGCCCGGCATAGGTCGCTACGGCGTCCGCGTTGAGCACCGTGAGGGCATCCGCGAAGGTCCCAATGCCAGGCGCCGCTATCTTGTTAAGCGCGCCGTGTGCTCCTTGCGAGGCTCCGTCGAGGAGGGTGTGGCGGTCGATGAATCCCGGCTCCCTGAACCTGTCGCACAGACGACGGGTGTCGGCGCTGGTGCACGAGGTCCAGAGGCGCCACGCGTCCTTGACGGTCGTTGCAGTCCGCCAAGGCTGCACTACGTTCAGCTCGTAGCTAGCCTCCTCGACCGTCTCTGGGGGTTTATTGGGTTTGTTGGCTCCTTCACCCCTGCTTGCCGACTCCGCGGAGCCACCGTCGCTCGGCGACTGGTCGTTCGCAGCTGGCGGCGCCTCCGGCATCCTTCGAGCTTCTGAAACGCGGAGAGCCTCAGTGAGGCGGGTTATCTCGGCCGCGAGCGACGCGATGGTTGCGTCGCGATTCTCAATCTTCTCCTCGAGGTCGAGGTTCTGGACCGTTGACCGCTCCCGCGCCGCGTAGCTCTGTTGAAGACGCGCATCCTTCGAAGTCTTCGAGTTCCGCGCGGCGACCACCATGACGACCGGCTGGTTATCCGGGTTCACCGACGAGGTGCTCGCCAGTCGGTACAGGAAGATGTCGGGGAGCGTTCTCTCGCGGATGCTTGCACCGCGCATGAGGCTGTGGTGGGAGAGCAGCGTGAGCACCTTGAAAAGAAGAAACCTCCACAGCATCTGCGAAGGTGTGGTGAAATGCGGGCTCCATGCCGACGCCGCCCAAGCCGGCAGCACCCTCGTCATGATCTGGCGGAAATGTTCGGCGGTGTATGTGTCGCCGATGGTGCCGCGTCGACGGTCGGCGCAATTACTGTCGACATAACAATATAGGGATATGAATATTAGGGCGAGGAACACACATCGATGGCGACATAACACGGCGATGCATGCCAACTTACTTGATGTCCCTCTAATTTTTCGTGCGGACCATGACCCGCACCTCCGACCGGACCACCGAGATTTCCCGCATGATGCCCAACTCCTTCTCCTTGTAGAGCGTCGCCTCCACCCTCGCCGCCATCTGGCAGGCCTTGATGCGGCCGGGGATCATGTGCACCATGTAGGCTTGCACTGGCGCGTTCGTTTCTGCGTCGATCTTGTACTCCCGCCTCATGAACTTGATGTAGGCGCGCAGCCGCGTAATAGTGAACCGGGGGCCGTGCAGCCATATGTGCTTCCGCTTGACCACCTTCTCGTTGTCCCAATCCTTGCTCTTGTTGTTGTGTGTACAATGCCCTATCTCGTCGACGTGCCTCGTTTGTTCTGCTGTCGGCAGTTTGTCGCCTATTTTTTTAAGCATCTTCGCCGCCCACCTTTTGAAGTCGTTTATCCATGAGGTGTAGGACTTGAGCGTGCTCTTGGCCTCTATGGTTTTCAGGTGGCGCATTGCCTCCATCACGAGCACGTCGACGCACGCGTACACCATATCTTCCTCTACGAAGTCGGCCGCCTTCCACATTTCTCGAGGGACCGACGTGTTCAACAGATCCTCATGCTCGTCCTCATCCAACAGTTCCTCTATGAACGCACGTTCCCCCCTGAGTTTTTCTTCCAACGTGCGCGGACCTGCACCACGTCGGGGCCGCGGGTCGTCTTCGTCGTCCTCGTCGCTCGCTGATGAATAATATTCCTCGTCCTGGTCGCCCGATCCGTCCGGCACAGACGACGGCCCGGCCTCCCCTGCATCCGTCAGCGTTGACGTTTTGCGTGGTTTCGTGAACTCCCCTATGGGCACGGGCGGAACGTCCTTGGTGAACTCTCCCTGCGGGATTTGGGCCAGGGCGTCGAGATCATAAAGAGCGGCAAAGTCGACGAGGGGTTACTGGTCGGTGTACGGTCTACCGGGCGGACATCCTCACCCTGGCTAGCGGGGTTCGGAACGTCCGTCATGTCGACATCAACGGGCGGTGGGTTGGTTTGCGGCGGTGTCGATCGAGGCTGTCCTTTGGCCATGATACGGCGACCTAGGGTCTGGCGATGGGAAGTCGGCGTGGTGAGGTCGATAAACAACTACATGCGTATTCTATGTCGGCGGTATCAAGCAGGTCGGCACAGCAGACAATCCTATGAGACGTCGGCGACCACATCTGCCTACTCTGACGACGCCGACGTTACGCGTCCAGAAAAAATCAAAGTGCCAGCCGTCAAATCAATGGTAAAAAAAAGTTAAGTGCCAGCTTACGGATGGAACGCACACAGAATGGCAGGCAGAATGAGCGCCCATTACGGGGACCACGGATGGGTATGGTCGTGAGCGACTCCGCACCACTTGGCGCTCCACGCAAACCCCAGTGCAGGACACCGCCGTGCATGTACGCTCGTGCGGCGGCGCCGTGTCCGACGTGCGACCAGGCGTGCATGGCTGCTTGCTTGACGCTCTTCGCTCATCATGCTCTTTTCGTGGCTGCTACACGCTGGCTCTTTCGTGCAGCACGCAGCGTGGTCCCAAATTAGGTGCAGCGCGGTAGCTCGAGGGCGGGAGACACTGCCGAGTGGCACCACGATGATGCTCTTCTGGTCGACGCCGACATTCCCGCAGCCTCAGTGTCCACTGCACATAGCCATAGATAGTGGACGGCCAGATTTCGCCTTGCGCATGTGGGCAACCGTTGGATGAATGCCGTGTGGTATGCACCGACCTTGCCACGTTCCCGCGCGAAAATCTCCCACGCGAAGCACCCCGACCTTCCGTTGGCCCGTCGTGTCCAACCTGGCAGACCTCGGTGGCCCCGCCATCCAGGGGACTATCTCGGGCGTCCCTTTGTGGCCGCGTGGCGATCATCGCGGCCCGACTTGCCGAGCTGGGATTCCGACACGCGGGTGAGACGTCCTTCTCGGGATTGTCTCAGCGGAACCCTAGGTCGACAGGTCGTCGACCATCCCGAGGGCTCGCCAGCACCGGGCCCAGCCAGATAGCCTGGGCTTTCCATGCGGAGGTCGTCGTGGGGTCGTCAACCCCGAGGAGGGGGGTTGTCCGTTCTGAACCGCGAAAGTGGGCGGCAATTTTCGTCGGCTGAGCTCTATTATGCTAAACAACTCGACCCCGCATCTGTTGGCTGACAATTCTTGGCTGACAACACCTCCACAACAACAACAACAACAACAACAACAACAACAACAACAACAACAACAACAACAACAACAACAACAACAACAACAACAACAACAACAACAACAACAACAACAACAACAACAAACAACGCCCTCTCTCAATCAAGTACCAAACTCACCCATTTCTTGAGGTTGACTTGGTTGTCGTCCAAGGAATCAAGAGCCTTACGGGCAGTGATAACTGTCAGCATCACCACTCCAAAGTTGTTAAGAACACGGGCGAAAGTGGCGTGGGATTGTAAGGGGGAGAGTCTGTAGTATGAAAGGAGGGAGAGGGATAGGCGGGGGAAAAGGGAGAGAGGAAAGGGTGTGGTGAGGAGTGAAAGGGGTATGTGTCAAGGGGCAGTTCTGAGGGAAGCAAACATGTGGAAGGGAATAAGCAAATTCATGGGAATAAGCAAATTTGAGGGAATAAGCAAGCGGGGGGTCCCAACCAACAAAGCCCATGATTACATAATGTCAGCGCAGAGGGACAGTTCTAGATCCCATCCCCGTTACAAGAACATTCTTTGCTGGGCTTTGACAGAGGACATGTATGTAGCACCTTGTGGGCCGAGCATGGTGGCACGTGTTGCATTGCAGTCACACACGCGTTGCACTACATTCACACACCCGTTGTGCTACCCGTTACGCTATAGTCTGGTTGCTCTACAGTCACACACCCTTATGCTACAGTCACATACGTGTTGCGCTACAGACACACACCCGTTGCGCTACAGTCACACACCCGTTGCGCTACAGACACACACCCGTTGCTCTACAGTCACATACGCGCGTACTACCTGGCGGGCCGAGCAGGTTGGCGACCCGCCTTTCTGAGTGGTAGGTAGAGAGAATCTGGCACCCACGTTTATGCAACATTGCTGCATTGAAGTCCAGTCGAACCCCATTTAGAGGCCATGGTTCAATACGTGGCAGCAAGTGATTAGAGTATGACACCAGAGTAGGTGAAGTGTTGGTGTTTGTGTAGGAACACGCTTGTGTAAATTTGATGGTAACCGGTTTCGACATTAAACGCCTTCTTCCGACCACAAGCAAGTCTACGTGTAAAGGCACTACTTATAGGCCTAGAAAATGTCACGCAAGACCCAAAACGCGGGAGAATCCTTGCGGGGTTGGGTGAACATTGTACAAGCAAATGCAATAAAAGGCTAACAGTAAAAACTACTGTACCTAGCATTTCTTTGCAGAAATTAGGAAATTCCCAACTCTCTTAGGAAGTCTCCAAGCTATAAGCGCTCTCCGTGTAGAAAATGTATCGTGTGCCATTGTAACGAGGTGATGACTTTTGAGTCGACTCAAAAGTTTCCCCAGGTGCGAATGGTCAACCAAGGGGTTGAGTAAGCATTTCAGCACAAGGGGGCCACGTTTCGGAGAGGCACATGTTGAGGACGCGCGAGCGAGGAGTTCTGAACGAGTAGTGAAGGAAACCGACTTGAAAATCGGCAGGAGAAATTTCTCCGGATACCCCCGTGCCCAAAGTCCAGCAAAGAAAAGAGCCCGGGAGTTAAGAAAATCGGAACGAGAGGATGAGCGCAGCAGAAATCTGTGTAGTTGACTGCGGATGAAGCCCACCTTCGTCCTGCGGGTGTGATATGACTTGAAAGGTAAGTACAGGTACCGATTCATAGGCTTCTGGAACAGCTTCAGATCCAGTAAACCGGAAGTGTTGAAGTGTCTGCCCTTGAAAAAGGTAACATCCAGGAAATCAATGGACGTCTCTGAAATGACCCAAGTCAAACGAATGGAAGGATGAAGCGTGTCAAACCACGCTTTCAGCCGTTGAAATTCTTCCCGCGTCCCCTCCCATAAAATCAAGCCGTCATCTATGAAGCAAAGGTGAAGAGGGGGAGGTGACGGAAGCAAAGAGCGGAGTTGAATGTCCAAAAAGCTCATGAAAAGAACCGCGAAGCAAACAGCTAGAGAGGTTCCCATAGCGGTGCCATGAATCTGACGAAAGAATCTGCCGTTGAAGGAGACATAGCTGTTGAACATCACCCAACGAAGCAATCGAGTGATGAGGGGAGCTAATGGGTGTCTTGCCTTCTGGAGAAAATTGGAAACAACGTCAATACCATCCAGTAGAGGAATGGAAGGGTAAAGTGATTCTACATCATAAGACGCGAGTAAAAGCTGCTTCGAAAAACGCCGCTGCTCCAGCTCAAGAAGCAAGCTCTGAGAATCCTTGACATAAGTAGGTTGTTGAAGAACCAATGGATGTAGAATCGAATAAAGCCAGCGGGAAACGTTAGAAGTTATCCACGAATAGCAAGCCGCAATAGGTCGTCCAGCAGGAACCTTTTTATGTATCTTCAGTAAAACGTAGAAAGCGGGAATTTTCCATCCGCCATTAGGTTGACTTAAAAAGGAGTTCCAGATTTTCTTGGATAGGAGCGGTTGAAAATCGGAGTGAATAGAATGTAAGTCTTGTAAAATGTGGTCGGTCGGAACGGTAGAGTATTCTCTGTAGACTTTCTTATTCAGAAGGTGTTGGAGGCACTTTTCTTGATAGAAGTCTCTGCTCATCACCGTTAGGCCGAGATTCTTATATGCAGGTTTGAAAATTGGATCAGGGTGTTTCGCAAGCCGTTGAAGCGTAGGAATGACGTTTCTCCGTAGGCGTGATCGAATCGTTTGACCATTAATATCCTTCATCACGGAATCTTTGAAAACAGCAAGAGCCGTTTCAATCTCGGAAGAGGCCAATGGTGGATCCCAGTTCTCCCGTCTTGGGAGCTTGTAGCCTGGATAATCAGAAACGATATCAGTTCCGCCAATTAGGTACATCGTACGCACACTTCTAAAGAAAGAATATAGTTCGGCTTCTAGACTAGTAATGTTACGGATGGCCGGGAAAGGGATGAATTTAAGACCCAAACTAAGCAAATTGAGCTCGTCACGCGTGAAGACATGGTCGCTGATCTTATGGATGCCGCGATAGTCACTCTGCAACGCAGCTGACTCTCAGTCTGTCGGCTGAAGAGGATGAGCGCGTAGGAGTGAATATCGGCTGCTACTGTCGACCTATTTTTCCGCGGACGACTCCTCCCCTGTTTTTTGCCGCTGTGTTACTGTTCTTGGGGTAAGTTGCGTTGCGTTCAGCCGTCTTGGTGTAGGCACGTCCCATCGTCTGTGTCACATGATGAGTGCCGACATCCTCCTTCTTTCCGAGACTGTTCTGGCTGTGAGAATGAGAACGAGAATGAATGACTAAGGAATGGAAGTGATACAAATAGAAAACCCTAATTGGGTTGTACCCCCTATGGGATACCCCACTATAGCCTACACAAATGTATAAGCTATATAGTATTCTGACACACCCCCATAGGCAGAGTGGGGGAGAACAAGGGGTCACAAGACCAGTCAAGCAAAGCAAAGTAAGCTCAGGGTGGATCACAAGGTCACCACACAGTCCGAGCACAAGGTCAGGGCCACAAGGCCAGTTCACAAGCAAGAGTACACACATATATATATAAAGCTAGACAAGCAAGAGCAGGTATATATATATGTGAGAGTACAAGCAAGGTTAAGAGGAGAGCAAGTGAGGCAAGACGGGCACAAGACCAAGCTGAGTGCTGAAGCGCTGATGATCACAAGGCGCAAGTGCCTTGGTGAAGACATCAGCAGTGTTGGCCTCAAAGGCCACGTACGCAAGTCGCAGCTGTCCACGCTGCTGAAGCTCATGAGCAAGGAAGTAGCGAAGAGCAATGTGCTTTGTTCTGTGCTCCAGTCTCTGCTCTCGACACAAGGCCAGCATGGCCTTGTTGTCTACGTACAGGACTAGAGGAGAACGAGGCGGCTCTCCAAGGTCGGTCAGCAGGTAGGTGAGCCAGCGAAGCTCC